CATTTATTTTGTGATCATTTCACTTAAACAATAATGTACAAACTATATTTTGATAATGATAGTTACACTTGGGGAAAATTATACACTTTTACAAGAAACAAACATACATAACAGTCGTGCCTTGGTAGAATGCTACTTTTGGAAGAAAATATAGGATTTTCTAGCAGTCACAAACCTTTACAAACATTTACGATCATTCACATACTTTTACTTCAAACGTTTACAAACTCGTACTTCAAACACTATTTGAAACATTTTGATACAAACAATGACACTAAAATACTTATGAACTCACCAGCTTTAATGCTGATAAACTCTTTCAAGATAACTTGTATCCTCAGGTCATCACTAGACAGGTACCGATGCCAGCTTTTGAGAACATGGAGCGCTTGCGTGACTCATCTTTTGTTTTGATTCATATTTTTTTGGTGTCTATAAACTATACAGAACACACTTGTATTAAAATACATTATTAATGAAATGGATGATGTTGTTTGCTTGTTTACTATATTTCTGTGTTGTGATATTGTACATGACGTCCTCCGCCCCAGAACGTTTCTGTCGTTCTTGTTTTTGGGGTGTGACATCAACCATCGGGTTGGAATGCCAACATAATATGAGTCCAATCATCGATGGAATACTCACGGGCCACATCCATCGGGTTGGAATGCCTGGACACCTACACCTACAACAACAATTACTATGGGTCCAATCATCCCTCAAGATGGAATACCCCAGGCCCACAACCATCCGGTTGGAATGCCAACCTGCTATGAGTCCAATCATCCTACCGGGCTGGAATACTCCTGGCCCACAACCATCGGGTTGGAATGCCCTACCTACTATGAGTCCAATCATCCTACCGGGATGGAATACTCCTGGCCCACAACCATCGGGTTGGAATTCCCACACACACTAATAAACATGTGCACCTACCAGATAATCACATAACAGTCTACAGAAACACATACTAGGGCCCTATTATCCTACCGGTATGGAATAGCCTCTACTATTGCTCAAACATGCGCACATATAACAGGTAATCTCCTACCAGCAAACAGACAGTCAGAGGAACTATAGGCCACTAAGCATAGCCACAACCAATCTACCAGGATAGCGATCTAACCAACAATGCTAACACATAATCATCCTTTCTACCAGAATCCCAACTAACATATCACAGCAGTAACTATTTCAAATAACGAATCAAAGGGCCGGCCTTGGTGCCTTAGACCCTTAGGTATAGTGAGGATAACTCACCTGCAACTGCCGAACCGAACCGAACCATGAAAGCACAATCCCAAAGCACTGCCTCAAACTCCAGCACCTATAGCCATCAATGATCCATTATCATAAATATCCAAATTCCATAATACCCTTGATAGCCAAACTGGTCAAAGCCAAAGTCCTGGCTAAAGTCAACCTTCCTGATTGACCCTACTCACCGAGTCAACTCACTGACTCGCCGAGTTCTTAAACTCAAAAAACTCTCATATCACGACTCGACTCGCCGAGTCACCCCATGACTCGTCGAGTTCAACAATCTCCGACTCCTATCCTGTCCAACTCACAGAGTCACCACTCAACTCACTACTTTGAGTCTTAACCAGAAGAGGTTGGGGGTTCTGCGTTGTGACTCGCCGAGTCCAAGAACAGACTCGTCGAGTCTACGACAGTCTTCATTAGACTCGCCGAGTTGTTCTTCCAACTCGCCGTGTCCAAGCTCATCATCATATGACTCGCCGAGTCCACCCATGCAACTCGCCGAGTCTCTTCAGTCCTTCATCCATACAGACGCTTTTCGAGCCATGCTGGGGCTCCAAACTGAAGATCCATCCTTCTAGGGAATGACTCTTACGTAAAGTTGCCAACTTTACGTAAAAACAAGGAACTATAGGCCCAAATCAATCTAGGACTAAGGTTTAAGACAAAGATGCTTCACCAAAAAACCAAGGGCTGATACTTTATGAGTTTCTGGACCAAGACAAGTCTAGATCTGAAGTAGCAACCTCAGATCTAGACCCCTAACCCGAAATAGATCCTTAACATGCCAAAATTCCCCCAAATCTCATTCAATAATAGATCTAGATGCAAAAGACTCAAGGTAACAGCTTGTTACCTCCAAAATGTGCCCAAGCTGAAGTAGATTCTGGATCTACACCAATCCCCTTGATGCTAGCCTCTTGGTCTTCAAGCTCCCTTCTCAATATTCCTCCTCCAAAGCTCAAATCTCTTTAATAATGGAAGCTCTTATGATTTTAGGGTTCACTGACTCTCTAGGGCAATAACGAGGCGGAGGGGAGGACATTAAGTCCTTTAAATAGGGTGTAAACCCTATGATTAGGGTTTTCTCTTCCCAGCACCAACCCGTCGAGTCCAGCTGCCGACTCGGCGAGTTGGTCACTTAGCTCACGACCAAATCCCACTCCGACTCGACAAGTAACCGCACCTACTCGTCGAGTAGCTTCCTCAATGTACACTTTAGACCCTTCAATCGTACTTCTGAAATTTGGGATGTTACATTATGCTAACTAGCTTATTCTCTCAAGTCTCCTCTTGCATTTGGTGTTTGTGACACATTAGAGGCATCACACTTGAGGTGCTAAAGTTTTCAAAGGCCAAGAACTACAACTACATCAAGAGGTATTCATCTAACTATGAGTTTTGTATTATATATCCTCCATTGTATGCTAGTTAGGATGTACGCTTTGGAAAATTAAAAATCCACGTATAATTAGAGAAAACATAGATCCAAAGCATCTAGGGTTCCATGTGCACCTTAGGAGTGTTATAGTGCCTCAAACCCAACAACTTTGGTGTCCAGATCCGATTCATGAGATAACGACCTTCGTCACCCTTGACTTCCATATTTTTATCCACTCCTCTCAAGGATTCACCTGTGACATTTTCAGGTTTCAAGGCTTCTAGTTGAGCCTCTTTGATCTGCGTGCATAGTTTTGAATGGATGGTCATGGTTAATGATTTTACTCGGCGGCCCGAGTATTCTTTCCGACTTAGGATGTCTGCCACTACGTTGGCCTTACCTGGATGATAACGAATTTCGCATTCATAGTCATTCAGTAGTTCTACCCAATGTCGTTGTCTCATGTTGAGCTCCTTTTGATTGAGAATGTACTGAAGACTCTTATGATCCATGAAGATGGTGCACTTTGTGACGTAAAGGTAGTGTCTCCAGATCTTCAGGAAAAACACCACTGCTCCTAGTTCGAGGTCATGTGTGGTGTAATTGACCTCATGAGTCTTAAGGAATAGGCAATGACCTTTCCCCGTTGCATGAGCACACATCCTAGGCCCTGCTTTGATGCATCACAGTAGATCACAAAGTCTTCGGTCCCTTCTGGGAGAGAAAATATTGGAGCACTACATAGGGATTGTTTTAGCATTTGGAAGGCAGTTTCTTGTATATTCTCCCAGCTGAAAGTCACTCCCTTCGGTGTCAAGGTAGTGAGCGGCTTTGCGATCATAGAGAAGTTTTTTATGAATCTTTTGTAGTAGCCAACAAGGCCCAAAAAATAGCATATCTCCGTCGGTGTTCTTGGTGTTGCCCATTTTGCAATCGCCTTGAATTTGGAAGGTTCCACATGTATTCCTTCCTTGCTGATGTGTCCCAAGAAGTCTACCTTTCGAATCCAGAATTCACATTTCAGGAACTTCAAGTATAGCCTTTCTTCCCTTAACGTATCCAAGACCTGTCATAGGTGTTGACTATGTTCTTCCTTACTTCGTGAATTGATTAGTATGACGTCGATAAATACTATCACGAATTTATCCAGGTGAGGTTGGCACACACGGTTCATTAAGTCCATGAACACCGTTGGTGCATTAGTCAAACCGAAGGGCATCACCACAAGCTCGTAGCGACCGTAGCGAGTTCTTAATGCCGTCTTAGGGATATCTTCCTCCTGAATTTGCAGCTGATGGTACCCCAACCTTAGATCAATCTTTAAGAAGTAGCTCGATCCTTGCAGTCGATCAAATAAGTCGTCGGTTCGAGGTAGGGGATAACGGTTCTTGATTGTGAGTTTGTTCAGTTCTCGATAGTCTATGCACATGTAGAAAGATTCGTCCTTTTTTTTCACGAATAAGACCGGTGCTACCCAAGGTAAGAAGCTCGGCCTGATAAATCCTTTGCTCAGCAGCTCGTTTAGTTGACTGGACAGTTCCTGCATTTCAGTCGGTGCTAAGCGGTATGGAGATTTGGATACCGGGGTGGCTTTAGGAATTAAGTCGATTCTGAGATCGACTTGGCATACGGGGGGTATTCCTGGAAGGTCTTCTGGGAATATATCGGGATAGTTACAGACTTCGGGAATATCCTTGATGTCTCTCACTTCTTGTTTTTCATCCATGACGTGGGCTAAAAAGGCATGGCATTCCTTGTGTAGATACTTTTGAGCCTTGATGCTAGAGATGATTTGTAGATTTGTGTTGGGTTTCTCGCCATAAATAACGAGGGTTTCACTATTTGGTAGGTTAAGGCGAACGGCCTTTTCGTAACACATGATATCGGCATGGTGAGGACTCAACCAATCGTCACCACTAGAAAACAGCCCTTTAATGACGCGCAATCAATGACATGCACTGATTTACGATATGCATTTCTGTGTGTGCCCTAAAATTAGTGTCCAATAAAAAAAATTACAAACAAAGAGGGCGCTTTTATCTTAAATGTGCGTCCTCTACCAACGTCGCTTTATAATTTTTACTCAAACGCGCGTTTCTTATCTCAAAATCACAGGGATAATTTCTAGGGCTTTTTTAAACACTCATTCAAATCTCTTCTCTCCCCCTCCCCCGTCTCTCTATTTTGTTCTCTGATATCTCCCTTCCATCCATGCCGCCGTCTCCGTCGCCATCAAAACGAGGAAATGAGATAGTGCTTCATCTACGATCGTCCAGACGTCGATGCTTGATTAATCGGAGTTGAATACATTGTAACAAAAAAACTATTCTTAACCTTGCCGGATTCAGAAAAGCCGATGTGTCACATCCATGATTATGAGGTGCAGAGTGGCGTCCTTTTCCTTCCTGGATTCCCTGGTCCGATTGAACTGCAAGATCTGGAGAAAAGTGGCGAAAACTCACGGGAATAGGATTCACTTTTCGCAGGTGGATAGAGGCAATCAACATCCCCTAGGTCTCCTGCAGGTGATGATGGCTCTAACTCGTGATGGCCAACTTTACCCTAATCTCGCAAAAGGTATAATTTACATTTCCTGATTTCCACCATTTTTGATCACCTGCAACTTATGTAGAAACTCTATCGATCATTTATTATTACATATGTTGAGTCTTGCTATGGTGTTTTGTTCCAAAAAGAAAGGGATAACAGAGTGTATATGGATGGTTTATCCCAAGGAATTCACCCAAAATCGAACGCCGATGGAGTTGGACTCAAAACTATTGTACGAGATGTCGATTTGCATTACTTGGAGACCTTGCAACGGTAATTTGGGAATATAGTCATCCAATTTCATTATACTTAGTTGTTAACAATGATTTATGTTAGATATATATTAAATTTTTTGGTGTTTTTTTTATTAGGTTTGTCCAACTCATTTGCGCCCTCGCCTAGCTGAGTCACTTGAGGTTGCTCCTAAGCAACTGGTATGGCGACAAAATATCAGTTATCCTTTTTATAAATGTCAAATGTCCTTTATTTATTTATTTATTTATTTATTATCTGAATCATCTAGTATTTTTTGGTGTTATTTGTGAAGGGCTTAATAAGTCACTGATTGAAAATAGTGCAATCACCATGGGTAGACTTGCATCAGTTTGTCCTCAGCTTGTATCACCTCACACGGAGCATTTCATGCAAGCATGGCGTATTGCTTTAGCCATGTAAGTCCCAAATTTTTTACAACTTCAACCTCATTTCCTTTTTCTTAAATATTTTACTTAAAACATCATTTGACAATACTTAAATTTCTTAATGTTAACAAGATTCAGGATGATATTGAAAAGGAGGATGCTTTTCGAGGTCTCTGTGCAATGGTATGCATCTGCTTTTGTTTGGTTTTGACTTTTGATTTGATTTGAAGTAGAAACTTACTTATGTTTGTATGGTTTGCAGGTGAAAGTGAACCCATCAGGGGCATTAAGTTCACTTTTTTTCTTATGTAGAGCAATTGGTAGTAGGCATGTAAGTTTTTTCATTTCAACTATTCCTTAACACACACACACACACACAAAGTATATATATTTATTTCCTTGGTTTCTCTTCAATATACGTGTCAACACCATTTCAGCATGCACACCTGATTTTCAGAGGCTAGTCAATAAGATTTTGAAAATTTTAAAGTTAGTTTTTTAAAAGTAAATATAACAGGTTAATTGAGACATTTCATCTAGCCTAACTCATGACTACATATCCTTTTATATATTATTCATTCTCTTTTCATGTGACATGAAACTTAAAAGAACAATGAGATTTTCAAAATTCTCTTTTGGATCCTTTTAATTAATATGAAAATAAGGGACTAAAATAAAAAAATACACAAAATTTAACCATAATGGTGGGCCACTTTGTATATGTTTTGACAGCTTAGTCCCCACAAAGCTCGTCATCCTAAAATGCTAAAAAGCTAAATCTCACAATGGTATGCTCTAAGTGTAACATGTAAGCTTTGTGATACCAACAAAGCAACAGGGACAGAAAACTGGGGAGAGGAAAGGAAGAACAGGTAACCAAAACACTTTTGGAAAATTTACTTGTTTATCAAGACTTTCAAGTGTAAATAAACACGGATACAAGAATAGAACAAGTGCAGGTCTTTGTTCTAGATAACTTCAATAAAGAAACGTGATCAGGTGACGAAAATGAACATGGGACGGAAGAGGTAAAAACAAAACTAGTTGAACACGTATGGAAGCTTAAATGTCCCCTTTTGTTTGTGCAAATAATCATACACACTTCCCCCACTCATGAACTCTGTAGGAAGAAACTGGAGGAGGTAATGCCAGAGAGATTACCAGTTGGAATAGAGAAGGAGTTTGATAATTACAGGCATATTGTTGATCCAACTTTTCAATCCACTAACAGTAAAGGTGTGCTTTTAGCTTATTGTTTTAGAAGTTGATTGTAGTAGTTATATTTGTTGTTTCTCATCAATCTCAGGTTTAAGTGTTGAGAAGCAAATAGTATTGGATGGGCTTGTAAGCTGTGGAAAGAGTATTGCTCTTGCAATGCTTGTTCATTGGGCACGTGATAAAGGCTGGTTGGTATTGTATATTTCAGAAGGTCGAAGTTCGACCCTCTCTCCCTCGAACCCTGGCTCCCTTATCTGGTTTTACATATCTCTCTAGAAATCATCTTCATTGTAAGTATCAGTCGTATTCTATCTGTTTTTCATATCCCCTCAAGCAACATCCTAATACTCATTCTATATAAACATCGTTTGATTCCTTTCTATCGTTGTTACAGTGAAGTACTAAATATTTTGCTTCCTTGTGATGTCATATACCAGGTATATATATGTTTATATCTCATGATATAGGTTACATTTGCTGACTTTCTGGAAGAATTCAGTTCCATTCAGGATTATTAAACCCTAATTCAGTTTGCTCTAGATGATACACCTGCTGCTGTGAATGCTTTTCTTGAATGTTGGAAGTCGTATGCACTTGTGATAGTAGAAAGTGAACTATGGTCGGTAAAAAAAATACCTCAACTGCCCTTGGTAGGTTTTACAAAATTTTGGTTTCTTTTGAATCCTTCATGAGGTGATTTAGTCGTTTTGCTTGTGTAAAAATGATAGGAAGTATCGTGGCATTGCTTCATGCATTCTTTAGTAATCTTCCACACGAATGGCTGGAGAAAACACATCTCCTTGCTTTTGAGCATGATGGTGGATGTGTTTGGGAAGAATAGTCAGCAGCCATCAATTCCTGTTGAAGCATTAGATATAATTGATCTTATGGACTTCCTGTTAGAATACACTTATTTAATCATATAATCAAATGAGTAACTTTATATACTATCTTATGTTTGTAACAAATTTATAAAACTCTGATTTTATTTATTTGTTTATAATTTTGATTACAGTCAGCATGTGGTGCATTATGAAGGGGAGGGGGGACCTGTACAGACGAATTCTAAACCAAAAGCAGATGTATTGGGTTTATATGGGTTGAGAGGCTTACTGAGTACCTTGGATCTTCAACTGGTTAGAAGCATTGTATAATATAATGAAAAGCTTAAAGAACAACTTAGAAAGGAAAATGAACTCCCTGGCTTGTGCTTCACCAAATTGACTCTACAATCACAAATTCCAACAGTTAAAATTTTTAAAATGAACTCTCTGGCTTGTGCTTCACCAGATGTATTGGGTTTATGTAGCTCTCAAAAGCTTGGTTTTATCTATTCCCATTCGTGGATCAAAGTGAGGGGTTTTTATCAAGCTCCACTTCTAATTCTGGTTTTAGAATCTGGAATGCATCTTTCTTCTATTCGTTAATGTTAACTTTAAGTGTGCTCATGGTCTATTTTTTGGTGATATTTTATAATTAAAAGAAGGTATTAATGGAGAAATTTTGGTTTGAAATATTTGATTTTTGATTTGACAAGTGGCAGGGATGCCAGTAGTATTTTTTTTCAGCATTAGAGAGTAAAGGAAGAATAGATGTGATGGAGCACCATGGCTCTTTGTACCACGGTCTAAGTCTAGTAAGTTACTTATAAAATTTTTTTTTTTTTTGATAAATTGAGGTTATTACCTATTTGTGATTTTTAGTTTTCACATGGTATGTATAATGTATCCATTATTATAGTAATATATGTATATGTGTGAAGATTTGTATATTCATAGTACTGCTTTACTTTCTTGACTTTATTTGTAGGTGAAGCTGTTGAACAAACTTGCATCAGCTAGAGCTTCAGATCAAGCTAGTGGAAGCAAAGTTTTGACCAATTTGATGGAGGAACTACAGGAACCGGGTGTTGTTATTGAGCTTAGATTAAAAAAAGATCAAAATCCTGCAGATTTGAAAGGATGGTATGTAGACTGTAGATTTACATGGTGCATAGTGATTGTTAATTATATATGTCATGAGGTTTGAATGTATTCATATGTTGTGGTATTTACATATCTTTTCAAGACTATGGAAATGTGGTGCTAAAGCATTTAGCAAACAAAATTGAATCAGATCCCAAGCTTGAAAAAACACCTGTTAACTATGAAAGGGTATGTGTTGCTGGATATATGGGGCTGGATCCTTTTGTAAATCATACTTCTTAAATTAAATTGTAAAAAAAATAATAATAATAAATAAATATAAATGAAATTTATAGGCACCGAGCAATAAGGATGCGATAAAACTCGGACTAGCAGTGGTTGCAGCTGTAAATGAGTTCTCAGCTCTGAAAACTACGAGTTCTCAGCTGTAATCAAGTTAACTTGGGGTGCATTATGCATAACTCAGAAGATGCATGATGCTTTATATATGGATAGGTGCTTTTCCAACAGGTAAAAGATTCTACCTTTTAGTGAGAATTTCATTTTTAGTTTAGATCTAATGAACGTTTTCTGATTACTGAAGTTCATTGAGACAAAAGAAATGCTACTACTAGATCAAGCAAACCTTCAAGTGCATAAAGTTTTATCCACCAATCATATAGATGAAAATGAGGAACAATGTATTGACAAAGTAATTTTTCAATAAACCTTTGGTTTGACAGCAGGCTACAAGATTATCACTTGCATCCAGTAAGGGGCGTTTCTTTATTATTCATTATCATTGGCAATCTATTCCTTAAATTGTTTTTTGCTATTTTTCTTTTTATAGGATAGTACATATTATATCACATCTGTTAGTGTGTATATATATATATATATATATATATATATATATATATATATATATATGCATTATGATGTACTTTTAAAGGTTGTTGATTGTGTGATTAATAAAAGCTTTTTGGTTTCAGCTAATGTTCAAGTCATTATTTGCCATCTACACCCGGTGGAGAACAACCAATTTTTTGACATGGAGGATTTGTTTTTTACAAGATATCTGAAACAAGGTGTCCCTTAATAGCAATGTAGTAATAGGTTATATAGTTAGGGAAAACCTCTTAATAACAATGTACAATCAGATCCCCTTAATACAAATGTATTACAATTTTTTTACATGACGTTATTAGATGAAACTGATTGTTTTGATATATATTTGTTTCCATATTTTTGTATTATGCGTAAATGAGTATCGTAAAGACACTTCGTAAATGTATATCGTAAATGGTTGCTCAAGTTTATGACACGCAAATGCGTGTCATCTTCATTTATGACAGGGGCTTTAATGATACGCAATGCGTGTCATAAACGTGTGTCGTAAGGTTACGGCACGCAAATGTGTGTCGTCTTCCTTTATGACAGGGGCTTCCTTGATACGCATTGTGCGTCGTAAACGCGCGTCGTCTATAGACGACGCGCAAAAGCGTGTCATAAATGCGCGTCGTAAATGCGTGTCATAAATGCGTGTTAAAACTGGTGGTTCACGAAACTTTTCTCTACACCACTATCGAAAAGTATGCATGTGTATGAGTTATTTAAGAGGAACGTACTAGTAACAGCATGTGTATGAGTTATTTAAGAGGAACCATTCCCATGCCTCTGCCATTTCTATTTTACGCCTTTAGGCAATATCTCTTGAAATTCCCCGTCTCATCGCATCCATAGCAAGCGCGACTCACTCCAGCATTAGCGGCTTGGGTTTTTTGTTGTGTCGGTGCTTTGCA